AAAAAAAATTGGTGTGAGGGACATAAAGCCACCTTTCTATGCAGTTAGCAGTAAAGGCTGGAAGCTTGATGATAGCATTTATTTTAAAACCACAGGAACTGATATCTTTTTTTTTTACTGTGCAGATGGCAAATAATGTCAGCAAGCTGCTGACAATTCTCATTCTTACACCATATCTGGGCAAGTTCTCCTTTTTAATGGACGCTACAGCTAAACAGTAAAGATGGCATTTGAAAGAGAGCGGCCCTGCTTGGCTGCATCAAAGTAAACGTGGTGTGAAAATGATCAATGTTGTTGTACTAAGGATTCCAACCCAGCTCTCAATTCTCATGTGGTGCAAAGCGCTCGCCTTAACCCAACTGCTCTTAAGCGAAAAAATGGTTCAGTGGAGCTGAGGTTGTACTGGGTAGCTTCCTGGTATGAATGTATGATGTGGAGATACTGGAAATACATGGCCTTTTTTTTTTCTTATTTTAACTTGTATTATTGATGTTTTATGTCACCCAGCATTTGTTTTTCTTTTCACCCTTAACTTGAAAAACTGTAACATCCTCGACCCAAATCTCTAGTTCATAGGCCTAGAGGCATTTTATATAAAAGTGTAGATGTCAAACCAGTTACAGGGTCCCTGAGTCATATATGGTCAGGCATTTGTCTGATTTCCTCCAGACAGCTGTTCCAAAGAGCAAATATAAGAAAGGCCACTTTAACAGGTATCATTCTGGAAGCAAATATCTGCTTTACAGGCAATACATCTTCATATAAAAAAATACTGATAACAATTAATAAATGCCTGTATTGACCCTGACTTTCAGCGTGTCAGCTCAGGACATTACTTTAATTTTTACTTTTGTCTTAGACATACTGACTACTAGTTTCTTGTTTGTAAATTCCCCTTAACATTCCTGGAAGCACTACATTTATTTTCACCTGGGCACGGCCTAAAGTAGGAGAAAGCAAGGACAGCTAGGAGGGAGGAGAGGGGAAATAATGGGAAAACCAGAAAACATTTTCTCCATAAAATATGATTCAGTTTCACCAGAATCTGCGACATAGTTGGTCGTAAGTTACCAAGATACATACAGCACTTGAACCAAATCAAATCAGTTGTACTCCCTTGTGTGGTGTAATTACCGTATTCACTAACTTTGGTAAATTAGTTGCAGAGGTACTTTGGAACTTCATTATGAATAATCCTGTGAGTTAGACACATTTTATTCTATAAAGCTCTGTCCGGACTATCTTGACTCAAAAAACTTGGTTTAAGCTTGCTCTTTTTGAACAACAAAAACTGTTTTTGTAGAAGTTGTTGTGTCAGCAACTTTCTAAAGCCTTAGTACTCTAGGTATAGCCAGTTTGGTGAATAACCTTATAATTAACACTAACCATATTAATGTACACTATTTCTTTGTAGAAAATGGACACATTAAAAATGAAAATTAAGGTTACTGATAAAAATTAAAAAAGTGAAAATGAACATACAGCTGTGTTTACATTGCAGTACAGCTTTCCCACAATCAGTTGTATGTTTTCTGCCATTGTCACACATTTGAGAAATTTAAAAAAAAGTAAGTAACTTAATAAAGACTTTACATTTATAAAATTGTTTCCACCAACTTGTAGGCCAACATATGTTTTATTCTTTAGGAGCATAAACCTTTGGGTCTTATCATCAACATCCATATTTCCGAGCAAAGGTGTGCCAATAATACTGTGCTGTTATAAAACTCAGGTGATAAAACTCAGTCTGGTTACGTGGAGAAAGGGAAACGAAACCAAACACACTTGTGCACACTTACCTACCGAAGTTTTGTCCACAATTTTTGATTGAGGCATATCAGCATATCTGAAGACAACATACCGAGAGGAGGAAACATGTCTACAGCCAGGTAAGGAGTTTGTACCTTTGGGCTGCACAGAAAATGAGAGAAAAGCTAATAGTAACTGCAAAGTGTTAAACAAGTATGTGGACAGATATTGGGATGTCAGAAACTCCAATAAAGAACACAATAACTTGTTGAATATGATATTCAATAAAGCCGACCTTTTAGTGCACACTTACATAGGCCTACCTGATCCTAGAAATTATGGGGTGCCGTTTGTAAAGCGGCTCACGCTGAAAATAACAGGCAACATTTTGTCACATTTAGCTTCAAAAACATGTTTAAAAATGGTATGAATTTTTGAAGGTCCACTTTTTTGACATTTACAACAACATTTGTCAACTTAGAGATATTTTAAAATAGCTTAATCAAATTATTAAAATTTAGCACTAAATGTTAAATGTTAAATCTAACTGCTAATCTAAACTAGCTACAATCTAATCTTAAATCTAAATTTAAATTTAAAATCTAAATGTTAAATTTAAATAAATCCAAAATGGCTAAATGCTAAATCTATATTAATCTAAATGAATTGCTAAATTCTAAATTATAATCTAAATGTTTCGGTGAACTTAAATATTTATTTCAAAATAGCGGTAAGCCGGAAGTCCAAAATAAAAGCCCTTGAGGACGTCAGTGTTGTTTATAAGTGTCAAATAACGAATAAAACCAATCTCTTCGCGGGGGAAATTGGACTCTTGACATGGATTTGCGTGATACATCGCTACCTAAAATAATACAACACATTTGGAGAACTGTATCCTTGAAGAGTACTTTGAGTTTTAGGTGTCACTTTTATTGAAGGGTGGGGGACTTATGACCTAAGCCACTATAGCCACCAAAGGGGGGCTCAAATTTGGATGATGTCATGTCATGTTCGCCCTTGCATAAAGGCCCAGCAAGAGCTACGCCCCGCCCGTGACACTTAAAAAACTCAAGAACCAACTGACCGTCCTCCCGAGCTTTATTTGTACATCGCGGTTTCCGGCATTTTGAATTGATAATTAAAGTAAATATTTAGTTTTCACCGAAACACTTTATATCTAACATTTAATCATATATAATTTATACTTTATAATTTATATTTATATTTATTTAACATTAATTTATATTTATATTCTAGCATGTTCAGATTTAGATTTAACACTTTAGATGTATCTATTTAATATCTCTAAGTTGACAAATATTGTTGTAAATGTGCAAAAAAGTGACCCTCAAAAATTCATACCAGTTTTTTAAAACATTGTTTGAACCTAAACGTGACAAAATGTTGCTGTTATTTTCAGCGTGAGCCGCTTTACAAACGGCACCCCATAAGAAATAAGTGTATCTTAAAAACAATGGCAACAAAAAGAGAAATAAGCAGCTCTTAGCTTCGGTTATGTCAGTAAAGACAATGATTCATCGCGAATCATCGTTGTAAAATAATTTCAGTTTAAAATCTATTATATTGCAAACTATTGTTCCCAAATAATATGTGGAACAGTATTTAATGAGCATTGGACTCATTAAACCTGTTGATCTACTTAGTTTGAGACACCATGTGGGCTCTGGCGACATCTGCTGATCAGATCTTGTAAACGCAACGATTACTAAAACTCACATGCATTGAACCATTGTTTCGAACCTTTGTGGCCTGTGGATCCTAAAACAAAGCAATGTTACTAGTTGGAAATTACTAGAGGATAGATAGATCTGAATTTATTCCATTTTATGTTCCATATGTAAATAGAAAGGACAATAAAGTAATCTGAATTATTTCATACCATTTGTATCATTATTCTACAAGTCAAACAGCAAACATAAGAGGATTTAAAAAAAAAAAATCATATTTAATGTATTTTTAATGCTCTTCCATCCTGTCAATCATCTCACAACTCTTGTGACCTCTTGGAGGGATTCTGACCCCCAGGTTGGGAACTACTGATGTATGTAATAGGCCTTCATGTGTAGGTGGGCTTTGTGGTTTATGTGTGACAATTAGTTTATCTTATATACAGTATTTATGTCCTTTTTGTGCACTCATAAAATTTAAAGAGACAGCCAACATTATCAGGTCTGGTCTGAGACACAATATCGTCCAGAATTTGTTTTGAAATCTCACAAACAGGATGTCGTCTTGTCTTCCAGAAAGGAGCTACAGGAGGCCTTGTGCTGCTACACCGCAGATACTCTCATCTACATTGACTCTGTGAGAGGATTCTGTGAGAGGATCTCTAAATGGATAATTGGGAGGGAGTCAGAGTTGAACATGATGAGGGACATCAAGGATAGGGCTGACCAAATTGACCTGAACTTTGACCATGTAAAAAAGTCAGAGACCAAAGGTAAAGCCTTTTGGGAATATATGAAGAGCAAGGTGAAACAGGTGACTGCAGACAGCAGGCGTGCAGAGCTGGAGAAGGAGCTGGCTGCTGTGCTAAAGGACACTCTGGGAGGCCTGGAGAAGCTGGACTGCTTCCTGGATTCAGTGGAGAAGCTGGCGGTCACCTCACTTCATGTGTTCACAGAGAACCAGGTGTTGCATCTACCAGAAGGGATCAGCCTTGAAAATGTCCAGGTTGTTATCACTGCTGCACGCCAAATCTGCCCTCTCCTCCTCGAGTTTAAAAGAGATGCAAGTGTCTTCTTCCTTCCCAGACTTCAGAATGTGGAAGTGCTAGCATATCAGCTGGACAAATACATTCAGACCACCCAGGAAATCTGCGAGAAGCTGGAGAAAAGGTAAACCTTTTCAAAATGATATTCACATTTTGCAAAATAAAAACATCTATTTTAGGAAGTAAATGTAAAATGTAAATGTGTCTTTCACAGCTCCTTTTGTGAGTTTGACCTGAAGATGATTATGAAAACTGTGGTAGACCTCGATGTGGATTTGTCCGAAGATGACATACAAAGGATGCTGTATCACATTAATCAGCTTGATGATATCAGGTAAGCACATTAAACCAAGATGAAGACCATTGTAAAAATCATTCCTGCCTGCATGTTGGCAGGCTGACGTTAGCATTTAGCTCAGAGCATAGACTCTTAGTTTTGTTTAAATGTACTGAAACTATATAAATTTGCGGCATTGGGCTTTCCCAGCAGGAATTAAGACCTCAGTATAATTAGTAATTTATTTTATTTTATGAAATATTGTTGCCGCAATTTTATTGCTCCTTATAGCATCCTAGTGTTTGTTCTAAAACAAATTTATTTGAGTAACCTGCTAATCTTTTGGATGTCTCATCTTATTTATTCTTTCTTAATTTTCTCTTTTCTCCATATCAGGATGAACCAAAACTTCAGGATGGTGTTCTTGTTCCAGGAGCAATCATGTTCTGGCTTCATCAATGAGTTCACAGAGCGAAAGCCCAGGATGCTGGAGTTTCTAAACGACCTTGAAGAGAGTGCTGTTCAGCTAGACAGGATGAATAAGGGGGCAAAGATCTCCAGTGTGGCAGGCAGCTCAGTGGGGGCAGTTGGAGGTGTGCTTTCCATTGTTGGTTTGGCATTAATCCCTGTAACATTAGGAGTGTCTCTAGCTCTGACGGTGACTGGGGTCGGGCTGGGAGTTACCAGCGGAGTCAACAGTCTTGTCACCACTGCCACAGAGATTGGAGTAAACCGTACACAGCAAAAGAAAGCCAGTGAAGTCTTCAAGAGCTTCATGGAGGATGTGCAGATTCTCCAGGATTGTCTGGAGGAGGTGACCCAAAGGGAAACAAACCCAAAAGATGTGGCTGTGGGAGTCGGCAAGGTGCTTTGTAAAGTTGGTGTTGTTGGGAAAGGCATTGATTCACTTGTTGATGCTGCCTCTGCTGTTAAAATGTTGAAAAGTGAGGAGCTGCTTACAAGTGCTGGCAAGGTGGTGGTCCAGGAAGGTAAAGCATTACGTAATGTTCCCAGGGTGGCCTCAGACATCCCAGATATTGGTCAGGCAGCAGTCAAAGGCCTCTTGCCCTCTCCAAGTCAGCCAGGGCAGGTCTCATCGCAGTCAATGCTCTTTTCCTTGGAATGGATATCTTCTTCATCTGTAAGGACAGCATCAGTCTGTCCAAAGGCAGTGAGACTGAATTCTCACAGTTCATCAGAGCCAGAGCTGCACTCTGGAGCTCAGAGATAGACTCATGGCAGAAGATCCATGACTCCCTGAGCGAAGGTCTGGTGAGATCAGGAAAAAACCAAATTATCATGGAGACGCCATTTTATCCGGAGATGGAGACGAAGAAGAACCAGAGAACCAAACCAAACCAAACAGAACCAGAAATGGAAATTCCATCTGATGAAGTGGATGTGGATGAAAAACTGAAACTGAAAGAAAAGTATTGTGTAATACAGTAGTACTCTGTGAGGAGAGATTACTGTGTGCCTTTTTGCCAACTTTAACACTATGATCAGATATGAGATCATTTTATATGATCGAACCATGTGTGAAAATGCAACTCTGCTACAGCTCACTGTTCAGCATCAAACATATAACAATGTATCTTTGAGGGTTTCTTAATGATCTGTAATTTTCATGACATTTATTGATTGACCTGATATATGGACAGTGTGTTTCTATCTTGACTGTACTCATGAACTCTTTGCCCGTTGCAGAACATAATGTATATAGGTATCATTTAATAATACCTGCTTTACCTGACTTGGGTGAGGTGACCAACTTTACCGTCTCTGCTGACATCAGAGAAAAAACTAGCTGTCCTGGAGTCACCATTTTATCCAGGGAGAGAGATCTAGAAACAAAGAGAAACAGAAATAGAAATTTCATCTGACAAAGTGGGTGAAACATGAAATAAAATACATAGTATTGATAAATAGTAGTGCTCTGTCAGACTACTACTACTTTGCATCCTGACTGCTGTGAGCATGCCCAGGCAATGTATTTGTCAGGCCATCTCCATTCACATGAACTTACATGCATGTGCTAAATGTTCTGAATGTGAATTTGTAAAACCTCATTTGACTTTATTAAATGTCATTAGCCATAATTGCTATTGATAAACAAATGTTCAGGGAAGTTGTTCAACCCTATTTTAGAGGTTACCTGGCAAACTGTAATCCTGCTAAGTGCAAAACCCTCACTTAGACTCTAGTTTCTGGTTGTTAAAAATCAAATGTGACATTCCTTGCACTTTCCCATGAATAGTGAAGTATTTTAATGCTTTGGTTTATGTAAGACCTGTGGCACTTGCCACTTTTAGCTTTAGTTAACCAAACTAGAGTTCACCCTAGAGCTAGACATATTTTAAGATTAAATTGTATTACCAATTAAGTGCCTACTATTCTTTTATCATCAGACACTGAAGTCAAATTATACCAGTGTTTTGTTGAATTATTAAAAATGTGTACCTGTCTTGTCTTTTTTTTTTTTAAATGTTCAATGCTTTAATTTTATAATGTAATCTTGCTTCATTATCTGAGCATATACTTTAGCATTAACAGTAATAAACATATTTCATTAAGTAACATCTGGTATAAACTGTGGTGTGATTCTTTTATGTTTCAAAGCCACTATCTTTGGATTAGGACTATGGGCTGATATTTGTGTCAGTCCCATAGAAACGAATTTGAATCTTTTAGAGCTGAATCTGAATTGCCCAACGTGAATAATTGCATTAAAAACTTGATTTGAATGCAAATAATTTGAATTTGTATTGTTTAACTGAAGGTGAATAGCATAATTTGAATTTGAATTTATTAGTTTGAAACTGAATTTGAGCCTCACTAAAAAATTCCAATCTTTTATGTACTTTCAAATTCAGAATCTCTAAAATTTCAAATTCCAAGATCCTCTAAATTCCAAATTCAGATCGCTCAATTCGGCAGGTCATCGGGATCTTTTCTCTACAGTACGACTGCTTTGGTTTTATATGGTTTGTTAGTAGGGCCATATGAGTAAGTTGGGTGATTTCGGACACAGCCCTTGTTTGCCAACCGTTTATACCCCATAATCGGCGAAATGTGCCAATGCATCTTACGGTGAACCGGCAACCCGTACAGCGGCAGGTTCCTCGGTATCCAGATGCCCACCTGGAAATATCCAATAAAAACGGCGAAAGATGCCGTGGCATCTCAGGAAAAATCGTTGGCAATCTCAACAACTGCCAACCAGAAATGCCACCTGTGACTGCCGATGCCACTTGTTTGAGCTAACCCTGGCTTGCAATCAAAGGAAACGCTATTTTTTGCCCTAAAACAAAATGTACTAACCGAAAATATTAACAGCCGACTCCCTAATAAGTTTTTCTATGTCCGGGGCCTCAAATGTACAGT